AGTTAGAAAAAATGGAACTCTAGCACTTGAAGTTAAGGTTCCACTAACTCAGAAAGTGTGGAAATGTTGGCGAAAAGGTCCTGAGCCTGGCTCAGAACTGACTTTTCATGCAGTCACAGTCATAATTCTGGGATGAGTCAAAGTACTCCCATGGGGTCCATTCACCAGTAGCGGGTCATGGTGAATTTCTACCAAACCTCCTCAAATGAGGTTAGATTTGCTGTCCCCACTTTCTCACCCTCTTGCTGCTCCCCCCTTGAAATCTGCCCTTTACCTCACCCCTCTTGATCATTAGCAACGGCCTCCTGGTCATTTTTGTGTCCCTAATGCCTAGCAGAGTGCCTGGCAGAGAGTCTGGAAATGTCAGCTGAGATGAATTACCAGTGACTCAACTCGGTGGCTTTTTCTCTAAGTTCTGTTCCATTTGGCCTCGCTGGGGCATGACACAAATAGTGACCTGGCCTAGAAATTCTCTTTCGCATCCTAGTCCATGACTTCTGGTTCTCCCGCCCAACTCGCCCCAACTCCTCCATCCCCACCTTAGGCGGTTTCTTCACAGATATCCTCCCTGTCCCCACGTCCCCTTCCTGCTCCCTGCACATGACTGAGCCCAAGGCTCAGGCTTCACTCTCTCCTAACTCCACACTTCATGGCATCCAGGAAACAATGAGGGTGATCACATGTGTTGTAATAACAATAACCACAACAATTGCCCAAGTGTATTAGGAACTGTACTCGTTATCTTATTTAATTCCACCAACTCTATGATGTAGGTATTATTACTCTGTGTTACAGCTGAGAAAAACCAAGGCTCGGAAATAAAATGACAGATGACTAGCAAGTAGCAGAACTAGGATTTGAGCCCAGGTCTTACTGTGTCGAAGGTCCAGACACTGTCAAAACAAACACAGAAGTGAACGCTGGAAATGGAAATTCAGAAGGAAATGGCTGTGCTGCCTCCTGCCTGCTCCACTGGTCCCACCCTCTCCTCCTGGCGTTGGTGATGCCTCTGTTCCCTCTCCTCGTGTCCTTGCAGGTGTCCCACCTCAGCTTGAAACCCACCGTATCCTCATTATCTTCTCTAAGAAATCTGTTCCCAGGACTCCCCTGGTGGTCCAGGGGTTAAAAATCCGCCTTCGAATATCGGGGATTGAGTTTGATCCCTGGATGGAGAACTAAGATCCCATATGCCTCGGGGCAACTGCTGAGCCCGTTGCCACAACTAGAGTCCATGCGACAAAGAGCCCGCATGCAGCATCTCAGACCTGACACAGCCCGAAATGAAAACATTAAAAAAAAAAAAAATCTGTTTCCATCACTCTTTCATCACTCTCACTATCACTCTCAGAATCATGGCAGCTCAAACCCAGGATTTGATTGTGACTTTTCCTCCTCTTCTTTATTCATCACACCTTCTTTCATTCCTGCACCTCCTTTCATTTCTCAACCCCTTCCTTCTCTCTGCATTTCTACAGTTGCTACTCAAATCTGGCCCTGGTCACCCACCACTATCATAGTCTCCTAATCGGTCTTTCCGGCCTTCTGTCTTCCTCCTGGAATCCATCCTGCCCTGCACCATGAGACTGAGTTTCCTAAAATGAGGCTTTGCCTTTATCAGTCCCGATCAGAAACTCTATCAGAGATAAAGTTCAGACTCTTCAGCCTGGTGTTCAAAGCCCTGAACATGCTGGTTCCACCTGATGTCTTCAACTTCATCTCCTACTTCACACCTGCAGGAATTCTCCACTTCAGCAGAGCTAGTCTTTTCAGCTGTTTGAGTCAGGCTGACCTTAACTAGGGTGACCTTATAATCAATCTCTCATTCAGAAGGGAATCCCCTTGAAAGTGAGAGAGAGTGTTATTGGGAACTGAGCCATCAGCCATAAACTGGGATCCCTCTGGATGAACTGGGATTATGGTCCCCACAGTCATATCGTTCTCTGCCCATCTGCATCCAGACCACCCAGAGCAGGGGCTAAAGGAATGCCCCCAGGGTCGCTAGCAGCCACTGCTTCTCCTCTGAATTTCCTGCTGCAATAATACCCGGCTTGCCATCTTTGACAAGTCCCTTCATACTGGTGTCTCCTGGTTATAGCCTTCAATCTGGTATTCTCGCTGTGACAGTCTCTCTCTTATCTACTAGATCTCTGTCTGCTGCCCTCCCCCACCACATGCACACACACATGTGGTCTCAGTCCTCAAGCTTTGAGAGCACGGCCTCCTCTACACTATCGCTGCCCTTCATGTCTCCCCTCGCCTTGGATATCTGTCCAGTCGCTACCCTTCCTTCCTCACCCAGATCTTCCCCACACTGGCCATGAGGATTCCCTCCTCTCTGACCTTCTGGAGCCTCTGTTATTAACATCTCCATCATTTGCTCTGTACTCAGCACAGCCCCACGGAGCAGCAGTTCACATTTTGGAATTGTCTTCAGTCTCCTAACCAAAGTAACTGGCAACAGAGGTCCACGGCCACTCAATCATTGCACACTCAGCTTCTAACGGGTCAAATATTTGGTTGACGAGGATGAGGATGACATCTGATGGATGAAGTCAGGGTCACGCATAGTCTCTCCCGTTCTCCCCTTCTTCGGCTTGACCCCAGCTCCGAGGAAGGCAGATATTCTTACGTGCTGACGGCGGCAGTGAGAGCAAAGCGCGTTCTAACGGACACGGCCCACGACAGCTCCCAGGCAACCCCAGCTTCACCTCTCATGCTTATTGCTCTTCCGTAAATGTCAAACTCCAGAAGTCTCAGCAAAAGCCTTAGAGACTCAAAGGCTCTCTACTGCAGAGGACTCTCAGGCAATTATTTGGCAACATCCAAAGAACTGAGCTTCTCACTGCCTTCCAGTTTCTCAAGGGCCAAGGCAGGTCCCCTGCCCCAGCCCTGGCTCCTACTGCCCCTGACCCTAGTCAGGCACACAAGCTCTGGGCCTGCCCTGCTCCTTCCCTCACCCTAAGTTCCCAGACGCCAAAGACCTGTTTCCTGAAGCTCGTCTACTGGCCTTGATTCCAACGGTGGAATTTCCTTCTGACCCAACAGCACCCAAAGTTTCTACCCGTTTAACAACTGGTCAGGGAAAAATCAGGCTTCCCCGATGGCTCAGTGGGTAAAGAAATCCACCTGCCATGCAGGAGACCTGGGTTCAATCCCTGGGTCGGGAAGATTCCCTGGAGGAGGAAGTGGTAACCACCCCAGTATTCTTGCCTGGAGAATTCCATGAACAGAGGAGTGTGGTGGGCCACAGTCCATGGGGTTACAAAGAGTCAGACACAACTGAGTGACTAAGCACACAGGGGAAAATATGTGAAACAAAATAGAGAGTATGACTCATTTTGTGAAGCATTAACAACATGTCTACAAGTAGGTATTTCTGTGGGGAAAGGTCTAGCAGAAAATATGACAAGCTATTAATGGTGATTTTTTCGTCTCACTTCCTCAATGAAAATAGATACTTGCATAGTAAAAATTAATGTAGCAAAAAAAAAGAAAAAAGAAAAAGAGCTGGTGTTTCCATATTGACTTTTTGTTTTGCCAGTGTTAATGGATGTGGTACCCTGCTACCTATCATGGTCACCACGGACAGATAAGGGGGGAAAAAAAACTCTGAGGCTTAGGAGACCAAATCCACTGTGGGGTTCTGATGTGGGTGGTTTTCATCTCCATCAGTGTGTAAAAGCAAGCGAACAAACCCATTTTATTCTCATCATCACCTGCAAAGAATAGGCCACCACCTATACTTTTTTCCCCCACCTATACTTTTGTTTCGTTGCTTTTTCCTTCCACATCCCCAGCTATGAATCACAGTATGCCAGGAAGTTCTATGTGCAAAAACAAAATATCATTTACTGTGTGTGGGAAGCAAGACAGAACAGGTCCTCTGAAAACAACGGAATAGGGAACAAGAAATGGAGGACTTAGACTTAGAAAGGAAGGCTCCAGTTCTGATGTCAATCAAGCCCTTTTCCTTCCTTTCCTTATGGATTGTCTGCCTCGTAAGTACCCTGCTCAGCTTGTTGAACACCTACTATGCCAGGCACTGTTTGCTGGTGGAAAGATGAATGAGTCTGTGCGAGTTTAAAGGGCTTTGCAGACAAGCTGGGAGGTGCCACGTGCATATTAGGGATTCACTGGTCTGCCCTCCAGGTGCCGGGGAAAACCATTACCTGTCACTGAAGAGATGAGCTGCCGCCCCCCTTCTCACTGGCCCCCGCAATGTGGAGTCGGCTGAGTAGGAAGCTACTCAGCTGACTGTGCTGCCTGTGGTTCCCAGCATTGCCCTTGAGACTTCTTGGCTGGGGCCAGGGTTTGAGGCTGCTGTTTGTTTTCTGGTCTTCCCTATAGCTCAAATTGTAAAGAATCTGCCTGCAATGTAGGAGACCCGGGTTCAAGCCCTGGGTCAGTAAGATCCTCTGGAGAAGGGGCTTGGCAATTCACTCCAGTATTCTTGCCTGGAGAATCCCATGGACAGAGGAGCCTGGCAGGCTACAGTCCGTGGGATCGCAGAGTCGGGCACGACTGAGAGACTAACACTGCTACTACTATTACCCACAGCTGGTGGTCCCTGGGGCCGTCACTGAACTGCAGATGCACGCTTAGAAGGAAGGCTGCCCACCTCTTTGAGGTGCCACTCAGCAAACTCTCCCATCACCAGCTGACCTCGCAAATAACACCTGAGCTCTACTGAAGGCAGACCAGCCCAGACACCCGCTCCAAACTGAATGCAAATCCGCCCAGTCCTTGCCAAGGGAGGCAGTAATGGATCTATCTATTAACATAGATCATCATAAATATGCCTTTTGGTGAGGACCCAGAACGGGAAAATGCTAACCTCAGCCACAAACGAAGTCTTTAAAATGCAAATGGTGGCTAACAACTAGGGCAGAGAACTTGGAGCACTTGGTTGAAACTCAAAGGAGAGCAGCTGGAGACGCGGACTCCCCTCTCACTTCTCTCCTGGTGTTTCCGCATCAGGCAAAGCTGGACGGGACACTCACCCTCACACCGTTTCCCGTCCGAGGCCAGGGTGTAGCCACTGTAGCACTGGCAGACGAAGGAGCCCAGCAGGTTCACGCAGAGCTGCTCGCAGCCGTGGTCGTCCGCCGCACACAGATCCTGGACTGGGGCAGAGCGGCATCATCAGAACTTGGCTCAGAAGGAGGTGACTCTTGGCACAGGGCCATCAATGAGCAACTCTACAGCACTTGGCAAAATAACTCTTAACTGAAAGCGATGTAAGATCATGGTGGAAACTTTGGAAAACAGAAAAAAAATAGAAAAGAAAATTCAACTGTAATCTCCCCACCTGGAGTCCTACCATGCAGAGGCCACCTCTGTTAAAAGTTGGGTGAGTTATGTATGTAAGGGCTTCCCAGGTAGTGCAGTAGTAAAGAATCCGCCAGCCAAGGCAGCAGACGCAAGAGACGGGGGTTCGATCCGTGGCTTGGGAAAATCCCCTGGAGTAGGAAGTGGAGTAGGAACCACTCCAGTATTCTTGCCTGGAAAATCCCATGGATAGAGGAGCCTGGTGGGTTACAGTCCCCAAGGTCACAAAGAGTCAGATGCGACTGAGCACACACAGGAACCTATGCGTATATTAAAGCATATTTTTCAAAGTTGGAATTTTTCTTCTCTATTAAATGCATTAGAAAATTTTAAATTAACATCAACATGTATTCTTCTCACTTCAAGGAGAGTGACGGATGGTTCTTGAGGACCGAAGTTATCATGAGCAGGACTTTGTGCTTGTCTGCATCAAGTACCATTCGTATTCTCTGAGAACCTAAAGGCTTTGTAATCAGTCTCACCAATTTACACACTTACGTACACAGTCTCACCAAGATCATCTGGCGCTGTCTTTGACATTTTGCAGAAGCTGGGAGAGAGCACAGTGAAAAGACCTGCCACTCCACCAAAAACAAGGCAGGTCCGGAAGAGTCCCTTATTCTCAAGTCTGTATTGGTCTCTTTGGACATGCTTTCCCTCATTCCATTTCTCTATCAGAAGGATGTTTGAAAATCCTTTGTGCTCTACTTATGCATCCCAGTAATAAAGGAGGAAAATGGGAAGCCAGAAGAATTTAGGTAGAAATAAGAAAGATAGGGAGAAATTAATGTATGGTATGAAGTGAAGTGAAGAGAAAGTCATGCAGTCACATCTGACTCTTTGTGACCCCATGGATTGAAGCCCACCAGGCTCCTCTAAGGTGACTAACAATGTTATTCTAGTCAAATATTTATTATGTGTCCACAAGATGCTGAGCTCTGGCTCTTTATTCAAATGCAATGTAAGAATACATTCACAGTAGTGCATTTACTGCCAAAGAACTAAAAATATATCAGAGGATGAAAAGTTTAAAGGCATTTTTAATCCTTCATCGACTCAGTCTCTCCTTTGAAGAAACTGGCTGACGTGATGACAATATTTCTCAGCAAGGATGATGACTTGGTTTCATAACTAGCTCTTCCAGTGACTTTACCATTAAAGTTTGAGAAAATCAGAGAGCATTAAAGGGTTTGAATACATTAAAAATTTTTTTTCCTCTTGTTAAAAGTTATCACTGTGACAGCTATGGTAAAAACTTAATTCACTAGAAAGTTTGATTAATCCCTGAATCCAATGACTACACTTTAATGTAACCTCCTAGGTCTTTGAGTTTTATAGTTTATTACACTTTTAGATAAATATAAAATATCAAATTGATAAAAGATAAAAGCTGACATATTTATCATCTCTATGAAATGCATTAATTTAAAAAAATAATAAAAGCTACATCATAAGATTAAAATACATTTAGGTCCACAAAGAAGGATTCTGGTTTTAAAATGCTAAAAGAATTATTTTCACTCCCAAATCAATGAAGTAGATGAAAAAATTATAGATGCAAATTCCTCTCTTTACCTATCTTACTTCTATCTTATATTTTTAATTGGGAAATCCAATTAATATTTCCCATGGATCCAAATATAGGGAAAATAACAATAATCAGGAGAAACTTCAGCACACGCAAAAACCATAGTGAATAATTGAAGAATGACAAAATCTACAGTTAATTACAAGCCTAAGCCAGAGATACAAGAAAAATCAGAATCATCAGATACTTTTCATTTATTGAATCAACAAAGCACCTACTCTGCCCCAGGCACTGGGGGTGTAGTGTGAACCAAACAAAGGGGCTCCTGCCATCATGCAGCTTGTATTCTGAGGGTTAGGAAGGTGAAGTTCTAGGAAGAACATTTCTGATAAAACCCAGAAGTGGAACTTATCCAAAGAAAACAAAAACACTAATTCAAAAAGATATATGCACCCCTATGTTCATTGCAGCATTATTTACAATAGCCAAGATATGGCCGCAACCTAAGTGCCCATCAACAGATGAATGGATAAAGATGTGCTACATATAGTCAATGAAACGTTACTCAGCCATAGAAAAGAATGAAATTTTGCCATTTATAACAACATGGATGAACCCTGAGGGTATTATGCTAAGTGAAATAAATCAGACAGAGAAAGACAAATACTGTATGATCTCACTCATATGTGGACTCTAAAAAACAAATGAACTAACATAACAAAACAGAAACAGATTCATGGATACAGAGAACAAACTGGTGGTTGCCAGAAGGTGCAGGTTGGGGATATGGACCAGTGAAGGGGATTAAAAGGTACACATTTCCAGCTAGAAAATAAATAAGCCACTGGGATGTAATGTACACATAGGGAATATAATAGGCAATATTGTAACAACTTAGTATGGTGACAAATCATAACTGGACTTATTATGGTGATTGTTTCATAATATATACAATGGAAATGTAAAATACTGAATCACTATATTGCATACCTGAAACTAAACTAATATATATATATATGTATAGGCTTCCCTTGTGGCTCAGCAATAAAGAATCCACCTGCAATGCAGGAGACTGCCTGGATTGCAGGAGACACTGGTTCGATCCCTGGGTCAGGAAGATCCCTTGGAGAAGGAATTGGGAACCTATTCCAGTATTCTTGCCTGGGAAATCCCACAGACAGAGGAGCCTGGCGGACTACTATCCATGGGGTCGCAAGAGTCAGACGCAACTTAGTGACTAAACCACCACCACCACCATATATATATGTGTGAGCGTTTCCGGCTGAAAGAACAGTGAATGCAAAAGTCATTCATGTGGAAAAAACTAGCCCCGTTTGAGGACTGGGAAAGCCAGAGTAGCTATCAGATGCACCCTAAATAACTAAAATACAAAATAGAACATGCTAGAAATCCACAAGAGAGGTGCTGCCAATACAATGGGAGTTCAGAATGGGGATGGATTACGGCCAGCCCAAGCTGGATCAATCAGAAGAGGCTGGCAGGCAAGCAAGAGACACGAAGGAAAGGAAGAGGATCCACCGGGAGCTGAGGGGACAGTAACCGCGCAGAAGTGGAGGAAAAAGCAGGACAGACAGAGGAGCTGACCCCCATTCCGGGAATTCCAAGGGAAGCAGCAGGAGCGCGCGTCGGAAGGAACAAATGACCCGGACGGCAGAGGGCCTGGGAGCAGGCTGCCTGGTGTCAGCCGCGCTCATCAGCGGACCACTGAGGGGGACCAGCCACTGGGGACCACTCAAGGTGAACGTCTCAGGAGGGGAGGTGGGCCGTTTCCCCTGACTTGTGCTGTGGAAGAGGAAGTTTGGTGGCATCACAGTCTATTTTAGAACTGGGAAATCGAAAGGATTTAGTGTACGGATAAATGAAAGCCACTTCTTTGGGAACAAAGTGGCAGTTTTCTGAATTCCATGCCAAAGTCGCTTTGGCTTGCGTGTGTGCGGATGGGAAAATCAACTTCTCGCCCTGAGGACCTTCCGCTGTCCGTCAGAGCTGTTGGCCACGCCACCGGCTGCCGGCGCACATCTGTGCACTTCCGACTTTTCCCTCCTGGCGTGTGTGTGCAGGTCTGCTTAGTCACTCGGTCGTGTCCGGCTCTTTGTGACCCCATGGACTGCAGCCCGCCAGGTTCCTCTCTCTGTGGAATTTTCCAGGCAAGAATATTGGAGTGGGATGCTATTTCCTACTCCAGGGGATCTTCCTGACCCACGGTTGGAACCCACGGCTCCTGCATCGGCAGTGGATTCTTTATCACTGAACCACCTGGGAAGCCCTTCCTGGCATGTATCACCATGTTAATTACAATAGGCATTTACGTACTGACGTATTTACTGTGTCTCCTTCGCCAGGCTCCCTTATCAGGAGGGGAGCGTCCCTGCAGAAACTCCTGATGGCGGGACAATGACAGCCCAGTACACTGGGACAGCCAACCTCCAAGTCCCAAGCCCATCTCTGAAGGTGGGGATGGGGACTTCTCCACCCGGGTCCCCCTTCTCAGCTCCCACAGTTGCGTTGCCTCTTCTCTGTGTCCAGTAGGAACCCTGCCTAACAGTGTTTACCAAGGAGGGGAGAGAGTTTCCTTTTTTTCTGTTATTTATAATTACCTGTTTTTGAATTTTCTAACAAGAGGTTGTACCAAGAGCTTTTATTATAATGAAAATAAAAATCAGTGTTACGAGAGAACCCATTTGAAAAGCAGTAAACCCTGCCAATGCAGAAGATGAAAGCGACCCGGGTTTGATCCCCAGGTGGGGAAGAGCCCCTGGAGAAGGAAATGGCAACCCACTCCAGTATTCTTGTCTGGCGAACCCCATGGACGGAGGAGCCTGATGGGCTATGGTTCATAGGGTTGCAAAGAGTTAGACATGACTGAAGCGACTTAGCACACAGACATAGTAGCCTGAACTACATCTATCCCTCTGCACCCAGTTCCCAATCCCAATTGAAACAGGTTGAAAAATGTGGATTGTATAAAAGCAGTGAGCCAAGATCTTGAAGCAATAACCATTTCCCCCCCAAGACATCCCCCCACAGGGTAGGTAGACAGGGCATGAGGTGCTCCTTCCTTCCAGGACGGGACAGCCGTGAAGCCCTGCCTCACGTGCAGGGTGAAGGGTCCGTGAAGCCCTGCAGGGTCCCGTCCATTAGAGCAGCAGTGCACCACCTCGGCGGCCCACCAGAACCATCTGGGGGCCTTTGGAAAATCCTGATGCCCAGCTCACCACCTTGAGTCAGAGAGCAGGGCCCGGGGTG